AACACACACACACACGCACGCACACATGCACACACACACACACACGCAGACACACAGGATGTCTACACGCAGAGCCAGCTCCAAGGCCTTCATGACCCACCGACCGGATGTGATACGAGTATGTTGAGTCAATCCTGTCCTGTGTCACACGCCCCCTCCCCCCTCCCCCTGACTGTGCCAGCTCGTCTCTTCAAGCGTAAAACAAGTATTTATGGCGATCATTGATTTAATCGGGTTGTTTGGCTTTATCGTTGTTTGCGCATTATCCTTTATTTATTTGTTTATTTATTATTTTGAGGGGGGTATTTCTTTATTTCTTTATTTCCGTATTTCATTACTTACTTCTTTAGCAATCAGTGCATTTGTTCCTAATTTCACTCGTCTATCCGTATAATATTCCTCTGTTCATTCACGTATATGTTTCTAGCAGAATATAGATAAATTAACAGCCTTTCAACACTGGCTGTTGGGGCACTTTTCTGTTATCTTGTTTTTTTTATTTTTTTAAATTTTATCTCCTGGCATTTACAAAGCTCTTGCCACAAAATCTTTCCTGTTATTCTTGTTCTCTTTTGTTTATCCATCGTATAATGTCATCTATATCCTCTTTAGGCGTGTCTGTTAGAGAGCACTGCGGATAATTATGTCTACCCTCTCTTTGTCTCATATGGTTTATTCTTTCTTGCTCTCTTTTTGACGGCAGGGGGAGAGAGGGGGAGGGAGGGAGGGTAAGGAGAGAGAGAGAGAGAGAGAGAGAGAGAGAGAGAGAGAGAGAGAGAGAGAGAGAGAGAGAGAGAGAGAGAGAGAGAGAGAGAGAGAGAGAGAAGAGAAAGAAAGAAAAGAAAAGAAAGAAAGAAAGAAAGAAAGAAAGAGAAAGAAAGAGATGGTGGAAGAGAAGAGAGAGAGAGAGAGAGAGAGAGAGAGAGAGAGAGAGAGAGAGAGAGAGAGAGAGAGAGAGAGAGAGAGAGAGAGAGAGAGAGATAGAGAGAGAAAGAAAGAAAGAAAGAAAGAAAGAAAGAGAAAGAAAGAAAGGGGGGAGAGAGAGAGAGAGAGAGAGAGAGAGAGAGAGAGAGAGAGAGAGAGAGAGAGAGAGGAGAGAGAGAGAGGAGAGAGAGAGAGAGAGAGGGGGGGGGGGGCGAGAGAGAGCGAGAGAGAGAAGACAGAGAGAGAGAGAGAGAGAGAGAGGAGAGAGAGAGAGAGAGAGAGAGAGAGAGAGAGAGAGAGAGAGAGAGAGAGAGAGAGAGAGAGAGGAGAGAGAGAGAGAGAGAGAAAGAAAGAGAGGGGGAACGAGAGAGAGAGAGAGAGAGAGAGGTGGATGGATAAGAAAGGGTACAACCATCAATCAGAAACAGGTAGAATCACTGCAAACAAGCCCGGGACAGGCAGTTCGTCACAAACCAGTTGCCAAAATCAAATATCCAGTCATGTGAAGATGATTCATATATGTGCATATACTTTGTGTGTTTGTATATGTGCGCGCGCGTATGTGTATGTGTTGTGTGTGTGTGTATGTTTGTGTGTGTGTGTGTGTGTGTGTGTGTGTGTGTGTGTGTGTGTGTGTGTGTGTGTGTGTGTGTGTGTGTGTGTGTGTGTGTGTGTGTGTGTGTGTGTGTGTGTGTGTTGTGTGTGTGTGTGTGTGTGTGTGTGTGTGTGTGTGTGTGTGTGTGGTGTGTGTGTGTGTGTGTTTATACGAACGGATTAAATTAGAAGCTGGTATATGCACCGATGCTTTCCCATCACATCTTAAACCATATGTTTAATAAATCCTGATTTTTTTTTTTTTTTTTTAATATTTAGATATTGCTAGTGGGGAAAGATTTTTTTTTTTTTTTTTTTTTTTACAACGAGCAATTACATACTAGCATATTAAAATATATGAAACAAAATGTGTGTAGAGAATTCCAAATATCATGTAAGGAATATCTGTCCTTTTCGGCTCACCTACGTGCTCTCACTTCAACCATACCTGCATTAAACTAACCTATCAATGGTAGTTCAATATACAATTCACATGAGACCTTTCTTCAGGAATTATGCTCCACATGGTAGACAGATTTACTGTTGTAATGTTTATTATGTTATATAACCTTTTGGTTATATTTATTTTACGATAACAGGACATGCGGAAGATCAATGTCTTGTTTATGACTAAATTGTGCAAATAAATGAGCCAGTTAAAATGTGTAGTTTTATTTAT